AAGTCCCCAATAAATAATCATATCGAAATGTAGACGATGTTCCAGAACTAGTTTTGAAGATTGAACAACGGATCGACATCATGGCACACGGGTAGTAACCCATAAGTGCCCCGTTCTTCTTCTAACTCAAGACTGAGTCCGAAAAAGCTCAGCACAGTGCACAGGCTCTATAACACCGGCGAGGATTCTGAAATATTTTGGTCAGATTGTTAACGCAAAATGTTGCTGCCTGTTAGGCTAATTATTTTGATTTCCAACTGCCAAGGGATTGTTTTGTTTTTTGTTTTTATGGGGATAGAACCTGGGACCTCTAGCACTCGAGGCGGACACAATGCCTCGAGACCACGCAGCCCAAGAGTGATTGATTCACCTGGAACTGACCATAAGATCTGCATGCGGGAGGTGGGCGAGAAGCGGGAAAAAGGGGGGGGGGAGGGCAACTAAACTTTTAGTAAGGTAGCAACAGGCAGCACCCGAACGGCAACTTTGTTGGCTGGTGACGGAGGGGACTGTGCTAGTATCGGAATGTCCTGACTGCAGTGTTGTGAACTTATGACTCACTCTTTCATTTAAAACTACACATGGGGGAGGGAAAACAGAGAGAACCCACTGGAGAAGGGTGGGAGGGAGGGGTGCAAGTAGGAGGGGTAGGGGGTTATGCTGTAAAATATATGAAAGCAACTATAAAAGGACGGCTCAAAAAGGAAAAAGGAATCTCATAAAGGGACGAAGACAAGCACGGACAAGGGCGGATAATGCATCTAATGAGCACATCCATGTCCGTGTGTCACCCGGTAATTTCACGGTCATTCTGACATAACCGTCTTGGACATTTTATTCTTGTCAGATTACCAAATCATGGAAAGATCAAACTAGGAATACGTAAGATGTAGCTTCACTCTCTCTTACACACGCATATATACAAACACATAACGCACACACACGCGCACACTCACGCATATTCTCTATACGAGAACACTCACCCACACAGATACACTTACACATTTTATACACACACAAACCATGCGCGCGCGCACACACACACACACACCAAAGGGCTTAAATAAATTTCCAGACGTCAACTTCCCATGTGTGTGTGTGTGTGTGTGTTCCCCCCTCCCCCCCCCCCAACTCCCCTAAGAACCATACACTCTGTCACCCTAACATTAAACATGGAAGTGGCTTAACTAACCGTTTTATGCTGTAACTGCGTAATCAATGGGCGTGCGAAGACTGTACATCCTTTCTTCATAGCTGCGCTGTAGTTTTTTTAAAGCTCGAATCCTATATAACTACAGATGCACTATTAACAATTTTATCCAACAATCTGCCCTGCTCGCTAGCTCAGTTGGTTAAACCTGACTACGTGGGGACAGAGTGACGAACTCCTTGCGGTCGGGGTTCACACCCTGAGGTAGGCAGAAAAGCCACATTCCTCCCAGATTTACGGTATCTATCATGGAATCAAGACGGAGTGGCTACGTTACCCAAAGTACTCAGCCAAAGAGTATTAGAGTATCACATACATGAAGGTAACCATTTGTACAGGAGAACTTTCTTTTTCAAGATAGAAACGTCTACAAAAAATAGACTAATACTGTACTTTAAAAAAAAAAAAATATTAGGATTGTGTGAAATAGGTTGGATATCACACCGCCGTATATACCATTTCACCATCTATCAAACATCTAGGGTTTATGATTAATTGAGGTGATTGCTTTCTGGATCTAGCTCTAGTTAAGTCTCTGAGAAACCAGTAACTGCTTAACGAACTATAATAAATCATTCAAGATAGGATTTACTAGTGCCATAAGTCTTGTTTAATATAAACGAACACATGATGATGATGAGCTGGTGATGTAAGATGAACAAGTAGTCTCTCGGTCCCTCGCGTTCAGCAAAGTGATCACTCGCTCAATCAGTATCGGCCCAAAGTCTGACAGTTCTCAGTCAACCCATTGAAGACCGTAACCCCCGTCGTCCACACCTGAAACAAGCACACTGCTAGCACACCACACCGGCACAAAATCCGAACAGGTTTTCCCAGTCTCCACAACTGGACAGCACACAATATATCTTTGCGCTCTATGTCCTGATGGCTGCTAGGAGCACCTCTTGCCCGATCGAGCAGAATCCATCTTTCACTGATGGTCATAACCATCGTCTGGCGACTCTCTATCACATAGACCCCGCCATGTGAGGACTTAAGGTAGTCACACCAAATTGGGGGTCAAAATTCCGTCAACATCACGCCAGGTGTCTTTACTTCACAGGACATTACCTGGTACCTACTTAAGGCTGGGTCGACGTGGCGGCCAAGGTAATTTTTGAAAAACAATAATCGGGCTCCGCGGGACCTGAACCTAGCACCTTCAGAACCGCAGGCGAGCGCTTAGCCGTTACACTACAGTCCTTATAGCCGTGCCCTGTCATAATTCGAGCCCCCCCCCCGCACTTTTTTTTAGGGGTTCTACTTTTACGAGTGCCAGCAAATATCTGTGAAGTATTCACGAAGAAAATTGATAAGGAATTAATTAATCAATCCGGTGCTGTCTCTATAATGACGGTTGACCACACTGAATCTCCAGCAATCCCTCTTTCACCCTGGTTGTCACTGGGCCAGAGGCCCAAACTCCAGCTTTGAAAGATCCCACAAAACAGCTTGATGATCTGGGCTTCGCTGATGATATTTCTCTTCGGTCCCAGTCACGGAATCAGATGTAAGATCAATTAAATATACTTAATGCGAGGTCATCGCAGCTAGGTCTAAAAATCCATAAAGGAAAGACAAAGATAATAAGAATAAATCAGGCAAATAGTAGTGTGGTTTCTCTTAATGGCACCCCACTCCAAGACGTGGAGTCGTATTTGGGCTGTAATGTAGATAAAGATCGGATATATATAAATGTGTTGTGTTTTTGAAAGTAATGAAGTATCTCACTTGTCTCTTCTTTTAATCGATTTCAATTTCCCTAGCATAGTCATCATCATCATCTAAGGGGTTTTTGCTTCAGGTATATTCAGAAGTTTACTATTTTGACCTGGAGAGAATGGTACAGCTCGGATTGACCAGGGGATCTGGTCAACACTCTACGCTTAAAGGAATAGCAGGATAGACATATAATCAAACTACTCCTGGCACCATCGGAATGGAAACTCTTCGCTGACTGATAAAGATCGGGACGGAGCGCTTATGGGAAAATCCTGAGTGTTGTGATGTCATTTCTTAGCTCAACAATCAACACAACACTCCCAGCCTCCTCAGAAGATCTCGTCTCGGCGAGGGAAATGACGTCATCACTATTTGTGTACTACGGCGACAATTGTAAACAACACGGAAGTTCCTCCTACAGGGTTTGTTTGATCACAAATTGTGTCTCTGCGAAAGCATTGTGTAAGTAATTCTCATGTTTTTGTTCACAAACAAAGCTAATTAATTATACTGCTGTAATTTTCTTGAGTTTAGAGATGCTAATTCAACATATACTTAATTTATATTCTTTGAAAACGGGGGAAATCAGTATGATGCTATGATGATCATGATGATGATAAATAATTTCTGATCACCACAACCATAAGTAAGCAGATGAAATTCTTTTGATATGGTCTGTAGGAGCAAAGACTTACCATACGCCATGAAAGTGAGCTTTTACAAAATCCGGCTATCCTCCGAATATCGGCCACATATGATGGCGGCCACAAAAACACCCTAACAGGGCCTCAGTCACATGTAAATTGCAGACTTCCGGCGACTACTGCTACCGCTGAGAATATCTCTCTCGCCGCTATACGCGGCGTGGATTGGGGCTAAACTTGATGGCCGGGACTCACGAGCAGCAGCTTCCGCATCTCCTGCAGCTTTGCTCGTGAGTCCCAGCCACCTAGTGAGATAAGAATAATTTTACCGACTGTATACAACTAAAATCAAATGTAAACCAGGGCAGAAATTGAGAAAAGAAAAGAAATTGCAACTGATATGAAGTTACAACTTATATGAGAGTATTTGACAAACTGATAGAATGAGTAATGATGAAGTCAGAAAAAAAACTGGAGTGTCTCTAATGTCAACAGAAAAATGACAGGGAAAATTACTGTGCCATCTAACTTAGTTGCACACAGACACTATAACATCATCATTATCAACTTTGTGTGCCATTAGAAATCACATAGCTCTCATATTCAATTCCTCTACTCCACTCTGTTTGCATGCAAGTTTCTTGACTTCTGTCAGTTCAGCACACCATTTATTTTTCCCTCTGTTAATAATGTTCTTCTTAATGTTTCCCTTGTATGTCCTGTTTTCTCAAACTGTTTTGTTTCCAATTTCAGAGCCTTCCGAGGACGATACCTGGTACCCTGTTTAGGCAGCACCCATATGCAAGCACACAATCTGACACTTTAAAAAAATTCACTCCATCGCCACGACAAAGAAGAGCAGCAAGATAAAATGAGAGACATTTTAAGTTTTATATATATATATATATATAAATATTGATTGATTGACGGCACCTTTACGTCTTTTCAGGCGATAGTGTTATATTGCGCTATGAGGAGACATGGAACTCAGAGCCCTTGGCGATGGCGAGTATGACTAGCAGAACTTGCCTGTATCAAGAAAAGTCTTTCACAATGATAGCATGGGATTTCAGGACCTATGTTGTCAACATTAATGTTTAATCCGTTTCTTTCTGCAATTATTTCTTTCTTCATTCTCATTCCCTTCCTGATATGCCCTCTCCACACAACACTGTCCATGGCATTTTGTTCCCATGAGTCCACCTTAATACCTGTATCATTCATGTCCAGCTTTCACAATCTTTATACTGTAGTAGAGGTCCGCCTCGACATCTTCTACCGGTCTTTAATTCACCATAAGGGATGTCCTTAGGGACTCTGCCATCCTCCATTTTTTAGATGTGACCCAGCCACCTGAGCCTTCGTAGACTAAGCGTTATGTATATATATTTTTCTTTCTTCTTTCCAGAAGAAGCACTGGAATCATGACGTTAATGGAATTTTTCGGCTGTACTTTCATTGCCTTTGGACTGCCATTTGCCTTGTTCATTTTCACAATAGCAAGAGACCCAATGAGAGTTATTGTTCTTATAGCAAGGTATGTGTTAGCTGCTTTCACTAACAATTTTGATTAAATGTGTACATTTGTTGTTGTTTTTGCTCATAAGAAAATGTATTATTATAATTTGTATTGTGTAATCCACATAGAAATGTTTGTGTTCTGAATCTTTTTTATTGAATCAAAGCTGATATAAATGACACTTTTACTTCTCATTTATTCTTTTTAACCTGAGCCTGAGTAAAATTTTTTACTACGTAATGCTCTGTTATTTTTTTTTTCAACTTAAAGTTTAATTAAAATTATTTCATAGATAATTAATGACATATTTATAGTTTTTTAACAAATTCCCAAGCAAATTAATAAACATTAGATATAAGGAATCCAGAAAAGGTGAGAAGATTAGAGAAATGTTTGTACAATCACTTGTATCAACGGTCATAGGAAAAAAATGGTTGTGGTCATATCGAGAAGAAGTGAGCAGAAAATCACCAAACAGGCGCTAAAATGGGAAACGGATGTATCGAGAAAACAAGTGCATATAGAGAAAATAAGGACATTCAAGAGAAACTTTAAAAGGACAAAGCTGAGAAGCCAAAGGTGCTGGACTGGATTCATTCATTGCTAAGGATAGAACAAAATGGAGGACTTGACCATAAGCCATCCATGTGACATGTAACGGCAGGACAGAATGAGGATGAAGGTTATGTGTAGTTTATTTTTATAGCAGCAGAATGCGGGCTAAAGACGCTAAAACCCAAAGACAACTAATCACCATCACCAGTATCAGAAATAAGCAGTCAGAATATTTGGCCATGTTATGAGAAAACCAAAACTGGAACTTGCTGTAATCATTGGAATCAGTGGTTCTGCACCACTTGGTGGTGAATAGATGTAAGACAGGTTAGATGTTGTGAGGGCCCTTTGGGAGCGAGTGAACAGTGCAGAGGCACAGATAGATCATTACTGTCTGAGGAGAATGGCGCTGCGGGGGAGTTACCAGGAGATCCCGCAGGCGCTCAACAGTAGGGAAAAGTGAGATGGATGGATATACAATCACACAGTTACTGGCACCATCAGAATTGGAACTGCTCGCTTGCTGTTAAAATGGGGACAGAGTGCTTATGGGAGTCTCCTGAGTGTTGTGATGTTGATTCTCAATTCAACGTTCAACGCTATAAAAATTTTTTGAGAGGAGGGTGAGAAGATTCTTGGCAACCTTTCATCTTGTCTTCGGAGGGCAAGTATGCGAACTGATACAAGCTATAGGAGATCTTCAGATTTTGAGAAGCAGCGATTACCAGTGCCGGACAGCAGAGCACTTGTTGATGACAGGGAGGCAAAAGCTGTTTGAAAAGTGTGCAGCCTTAATTTTTTTTCCTGTGGAAACAATTAGAGCACTGGAAGTGTGTTCTGGCAGGAAGGGTATAGGTGACCTTCATATACATGCATTTTTTCCCTGTCAACAAAGGGCATCAATTACAGGCAGCCAATCTGTGAATCACTTAGTTTAATAAATGCCTGTCAGATCTTCGTTTGCCTTGAAATAATGAAATGAACGAAGAAGCAGTGTGGTATAACACGTTACTACTTACTATATGATAACACAAGGAAAACCATTTGGAGGATTTAACAGGCTGTTTGTGATGATACCTGTGAGCATGACACATATTAGGCAGGTTTTTCTTTCCTTTTTTATTTTTTTTCAATTGTGCAGACTCCACGGTGGAGAGTGCAAACTATGGAGCTTGACTGCTAACTATGGAGCTTGACTGCTGCAAACTGTGGAGCTTGACTGCAGCAAATTATGGAGCTTGACTGCTAACTTTCATGTAGTGCGACTCTTGCACCACTGTCAGAAAGCTACAAGAAACATCTTTTCTAAATCGTCCACCACAGGAATCGAACCTTGGTAAACATTGAATATTGCAGTGTGAAAAGATTTCACTAGTCGCAGTACATCAGTGGAGAGTAGATCATGCTCCCGTAGGTCGTCAGCCAGACAGAATGATTTAGTCATAGACCAAGGATTGACTTTAGACACACACAACTGTTGTGTCACCATTCAAGAGCTTATTCTGGTAATCTGGTAATCCTAGTTTCAGCTTCATAGCAAACGGGTCACCCCATAGTTTTTCCGCTCCTGTGCCAACAAAAAACACAAGTAGCTCACAGTGTCACACCATGCACTCACCTCAGAAGCTGGGCGACGAAACTATATGCTTCCAGTCTACAAATGGAGCAAAAATGTGACTGCTCAAGAGCTTATTGATAATGGGGGGGGGGGGGGGCATTTGTCAAGACGACTCTGTTGTTGTGGAGAATTTGGTTTCAGATTCCTGAAAGCTGTTGATGGGGCAGAAGACCATCTAGAAGTTAGTAGGAAATTCATGGCTGGGTAAATAGTGACATCAGTTTCCTGAGCACTTTAATCACTGATGAATAAGTTGTGGGTTCAAATCATTGATAATAAGAGCAGTGTGTATTTGTCACAGTAGAGGCATTAGTGGAGACATACCTTTTTTTCAAGGTGAAACAAACCAAGGTACAGTTGTCACAGTGGAGACATCCCCCTTTCTCAGGGTGAAATAAATTAATGTGCAATTGCCACAGTGGCGACATACCTCTTTCTTGAAATGAAATAAACTAATGTGTGCTTGTCACAGTGGAGATATTCAACACACTCAATGTGAAAGAAAATAAGGCAGGTGCACTTAAATGTCACAGTCATGACAACTGGGCAAATATTAGATAGTAGATCTGCTATATTTATCATTCATGTTTATAATTGCATTTCAGTGCATTTTTCTGGTTGATGTCGCTGTTATTATCATCAATACTGTGGTATGCAGTTGTGCCCCTACGAGACAAGCTAGCATTTGGATTAGTCTTTTCAGTAATATTCCAAGAGTGCTTCAGATTTTTGTTCTACAAAACTTTAAGGTAATGTTGTAGTTGTATTAGAACAGTGTTTCTCATTTAGTGATCCACAAACTCCTGGTCTGTAACAACAAATGTAAGGGGTACATGATATTTAAATTAAAAAAAATGCTCTTAACTTTAAAATATGATTCTTTTTGCTATTTGAATGTTGGTAAATTATAACGAGAAAGAGAATTCTAAAATGCTATATGAATCCTATCCTGATATACGGAAGTTATTTGAAAGTTATTTGATTAGTGAAAAATTATTTTAGATGTATGGTTTTATAGAGGAATGATGAGAATACACTGGACAGATAAAAAGAGTAAAGAAGATGTCTTGAAAGAAACTGACTCACAAAGAGAACAACTGATTGCCCACATCAAAAAGAGACAATCTACATTTTTTGGTCATGTGATGAGAAGGAGGAAACTGGAGTACTTTGTGACAGTAGGAAAGTTGGAGGGAAAGAGAGGCAGATTAAAAGAATGTTGGACAGTGTGACATCATGGCATGAAGAATAATTTGTGTCAGAGTTGATTGAAAGTACATGAGACTGAAGAGTCTGGGGATAGACATGACTACCAATGCCACATGGCATAGACTTTAAAAAGAGAAAGAAATTATCATAAATTCTTCAATATGATGATTATAAGCTATGTTGTCCCTGGCGGACCTTCAGAAATAGGAAGGGGTTGGCAGAGCTTAGCTAACTGAGAAACACTGTTTTAGAAAGTTGTTACAAATAAGTTCCTTATGAATTGTAAGAGTTTACGAACTAATTTCAGCATTTATTGGCTCATCGTCATCATTATGTTGCAGGTCCTTTGCAGAACGTCGCTCTTATCACGGTCTGCCTGAAAGAAACTCGGTCTCTCGTCAGCTCTCCCGCCTCATCTACTTTCATACTCAAGGAGTCACTTATATCCTGTGCCCATCTTTGGGTCAGTCGGCCCCTGCCCCTCCTTCCTGGTACCATGCCTTCTGCTATAATTTTTCCCAGTCCGTCGTGGCACTCGATATGACCAAAATATTTCAGCTTCCGAGACAGGATGCTGTTTATTAGCCGATCTTCCTTGATGTTCAGATCTTTCAAGATATCAGTATTTCTCCTCTTCTTTGTCCAAGATATTCTAAGAATCTTTCTATAGCATTTCAGCTCAAAAGCCCCTATTCTCTTTCTTAAGGACTAGGAGATAGTCCACGATTCACATCCATAAATTGCTACAGGGAAGATGCAGGCTCTCAAAATTCTAATTTTGATCTCTTGCTGATGCTTAACCATAGACTTTTAAGGCTGTTTAATCTTTGAATTCCTATTTATTGGCTTTTGTGTGATTTTTCTCTATAATTTTACAGTTCATTAGTTTATTTGTTGTATGACACTCATACCATTGTTAAAATAATTGCAATGCTATCTGCTAGCAAATCACAGCAGCTAACTTCGAACCCCTTTATGTTACAATTGTGAAACTGCATTCACATCCCGTTAGCCACAGATGCAGACTGGTTATGTTGTCATTTACAGCTGCCTCATGTATTTAATGTGTATGTATGCTGTTGGCTTTAAAAAGGGTGCGTCTGTTTAAGTTTTATCTATGGTCTGAGGAGATTGGCACTGCGAGGACTTATAAGGTGATCTGGCCGACGCTCAACACTCAGGGAAAAGGTGAGACTGATATACAATCAGACAGTTACTGGTACCATTGGAATTTTAACTCTTGGCTAGCTGCTGAAGATGGAGACCGAGCACTAATAGGGCTATCTCGAGTGCTGTGATGTCGATTCTTAAATCAACATTTAAGTTTTCTCTATTGCATCTTTGTATAGTTTTTAATGGTAAGAAATATTAATTTTTCTGGGTTTGTTTGTTTGTTTTGTTTTCAGACGAGCAGATGAAGGTTTGTTAAAAGTTAGCCTGCAGAACACCAGCCAACATGTGACTCCAAAGGATTTTTTAAACCAGCACATTATGGCTTATGGTATGATGTTAACTTTTTAAAATTTTTTGTTTAAGAAGATACTTTTGTGTCCACTGTGTCCATATCTTTGTTGTTGGGAGATAAGTTAATGAATATAGCTCTTTATAGTTTTCATGATTTTTGTGTGACAGCATGAGAATAGCACCCCGGAAGACATTGGCGCCTCAGCATTTAATTGTCCCAAATACAGCAGTAGGTGCACTGTAGAAAGTTTCGTTGTAGAAAGGGTACAGTATTTTTTTGGGGGGGGGGGGGGGGCGTGGGTGTGTGCCCATTATATTTCTAACTTGATGGTTGAGTTCAGACTGTGTTTACTTAGGTCCCTTACCCAGTCAGTACAGCAGGACCGTACTTTGTGTAGCCGCAAGGAAGCACTAGTTATAACTGAAAAGGGGGAAGGGGATTGAATGGGTTTTGCCCTGTTAGCTCATCAAGGCTTTGTCGTGTCACATCTCCAGGTAGCAGCTCAGATGGATGCATTGGGGTGGGTGTGGGTGGATTAGCAGTCTGTCTGTAAGAGTTTAATTCACTCTGTAACTGTTTAGTCATTCTGTATCTGTTCAGTCACTCTGTATTCTGTATCTGTTCAGCTGGTCTGTAACTGTTTAGTCACTCAGTATATGTTTAGCTGGTCTGTATCTGTTCAGTCAGTCGGTATCTGTTCAGCCAGTCTGTAACTGTTTAGTCACTCTGTATCAGCTCAGCCAGTCTGCAACTGGTGACCTAACGATGTGTGATGTTATGGGACTTTGAAGATGGTGGTGTTTGCACCATTATTTTTGTGTTTCTCATCACTACAGTTAGCCTATCACCTTCTGAGTTCAGATCACACACTTCTCAAAAGGATTATTTGTATGTTGACACCCCCCCCCCCCCCCCCAAACCCTCACCCACTTCTCATGTAGAACTAGTTCATTGAGAACCTGGCTGGTACAAAAGAGTTGGTATGTGGAGCTGAGAAATTCCTTGTGTCATCAGGTGAAAGGAATTGTAGACTCCTGGATGGATTTACAGTGCAGTGAAGATGGTAGTTGTCTTCAGCTAGTCAATCAATCTAATCAGATTGGTTTTTACCATAGGAATAATCTGCATTGATTGTTTTTCTTTAAATTCTTTCAAGTTCCTTGTAGTTCATAGAAGAAGAAAAAGGATGACGTTTAGTGCCAGACAAAACCTCTGATGGAAGACATAGCCCTGGGTGTCATAATGTCTCTCCTTAACTCAGTTTCAAATGTATTGTACATTTGCAGTTTCTGGCCTGGGATTTGGAGTTATTGCAGGAGCTTTCTCAATAATAAATGTGCTTGCTGATATGTCTGGACCAGGGACCATTGGCATCATGGGAGATTCCAAATATTTCTTCTGGACTTCTGGTAAACAAATTGGTGTATTAACATTTGTTATGCGGCCTCTAAATTTCTGTTCAGTTTTCTCTTGTGGGTTCCAAGATCAAATTTAAAAAAAAAATGGGGAGGGGGGAGGGTTGACTCATTGTACTCTAACAAGCGTGTCATAAAAGACAATTAATTAGAAGTTTTCTGAAATTGAAAATATTGGACCAAAAGGTGTACATGTCTTACTGCCTAGCTGTAAACTACAACACAATGTGCCAAATGCCCTTTTCTATGTGGATGCAGAAGAAGAAGGAGAATTTTCACTTTTTTCATCATCATCAAGTGCTATGCAACACAAAGAACAAGAAGAAAGTATTCTTCTCCTCAGGTTTTCTCAGTACATGTCTTATCAAAATTCAGCATCTTTTATTTATCACTTGCTTCACTGGAATTTGTTAAGTTCTCTCCCAAAGCTCCACATTAGTGATTCTGTCATACCATTTAGTTCAGGCTTTTCTGAGCAGACACCAGTTAATGAATGTTTGTAGTTTATTAGTAATTGTTTTAGTTGTTCTCCCTGTTTCTGCTCCATATAGAAGTACTGATTTGACATTAGGAATAAACAATTTTAAGTTTAGTAATAGTTTCAATTCCCTTTGACCTCCACAATTTGCCGAGTGCAGTGACAACTCCTACCTTTTACATTCGTTTTTTTAATGTCTGTCTCAGTTTCCCCATCTTTATTTACATTACTGCCCAGATAAGTATATGACACCACATATTACAAAGGGATATCATTAAGAGAAATTAAACCTCTGCTTGCATAGTTTATTCTCATTATTTTTGTCTTTCATTTATGGATTTTTAGACCTAATTATGAATTCGCCTCAAGTATGTTTTATTCATCTTGCATCTGATTCCTTGAGCGGGATAGAAGAGAAATATTGTTAGCAAAGTCCAGGTCATCCAGTTGTTTTGTAGCGATCAACTATATTCCGTTTCTGGTGGTTGCTCTTGCTGTCTTCATAATCCAGTCTGTTGCCAGTAAAAATATGAGAGCAACAAAGGATATCCCTGTCACAGAGCTGTTCCTATCTCAGATGTATCTGTCAGTTTCCCATTGTGAAGAACTCAACATTTCATGTATTTATATGTTGCTTTTACTAAGTTAATAGCTTTCTATGTTATTTCAATTAAATGCTTTGGTCTGTTATTATGCATAATGTGGCTGTCTGCACACGCAACACTCAGGTTCTGGAACAGGACTGCAGTCCAAAAGTGGTTGAACAACCGGAACTTTCCACCAGAGTTTACAGCTGGTGAACGCGAAGAAGAAGATCTGATTCCCCCAAAACCTGCCTGTTTATCAGTGGCAACTTTTAGTCTTTGCAAAATCTTCCTACTTAATGTGTTTTTCTTCCAGGAACTGACAACATAATTCCTCTATAGTTTTTCACACTTGTTTATTTTTGGGGGTAGTTTCACAAGATATGCTTTTCATCAACCTGCTGGTTTTTCTTCAGGCTTCCAGGCTTTACTGCATAATTTGTGTAGCATTTCTGAAGATTTGCTGATATTGGTCTTAAGAACACCTAGGATACCATCTGGACCTGCAGTCTTCCCTTCCTCCAGTAGATCAATAGCTTTCCTAATTTCCTCTTTCAATAGTATCTCACAGTTAATATCTAATTCCATTCCCAAAAATACAACATTAAGAAAGGGACAAACACTTTTCTTTGGCCACATAATGAGAAGAGAGATATTAGAGAACATTGCGACAGCTGGAAAGATCAGTGGGAAAAAAGGGTAGAGGCAGACCAAGAGAGAAGATGCTGGATGGACTTAAATTATGACATGGAGGGATATCATTAAAAGAGCTGTTCCAGGCAACCAGGGATCGTAATCTGGGGAGATGCATGAGAGCTTACGTCAGTTGGCAGGGCACATGATGATGATGATTCCCAAAGGCTGGATATCTCGTGGGACCTGTGGGGTTGGTTTATTCAGAAGTACTTCAGAATATCCAGCCCATCTGTGACCCAATATTTCCTGTATTATTAAAACTGTTAAAGTTCCTGAAAGGTTCGACTGGTGAGAAACTGCCTGGACAGAAGTCACATGTATTGGCCGAAAGATACAAGCCCTGTTGTAAACAATCTAACACAGATATAAAAAAAAGTAATTGAGCGAACAATCAAAGAGAGAGAGAGAAAGAAAATGGACAAGCAGTTCAGAAGAATATGTAAAGGGTATTTTACTGAAAATTTGACAACCAAAGAAGTTTCTCTGATGCTTATTTGAGCAAAGAAAACAAACATCACAAATTCATTGTCTGGCGCATTACCAGTATTTCCCATGACTATTCCTGGTGCCTGTTTTAGGTTGGCTCAATTGTGAACCAATTTTTTTTTTTTTTAAATCTGGCTTGATGTGGATTTGAACCTAAGACCTTTTACACACCACCCTTTTTTAAAAAGAGGGAGAGGGGGGAGGAGGTCACCTTGTTCCCCCTATTTAGTTCCTAAATCAGTATTGGATTCCACCAGATGCTGTTAATAAATGCCTCAAATTGTTAGGGCTTTTCCATTATTCTAAGCCACATGAATAACTAGAACTATCTGATTGTTACGAAGGCAAGACTTGCCTGCCTGTCAGAAATAAACTGACAGAAGTTGTTTAAACAATGTGGAAATCCTGGAATCATATGGTGCTAGAATTGTGTGCTTTTGAAAGGGGGCTGACAAGGAACAGCACATATTAAAACGGACAATAAGAGTGTGCATACGTACTTGAGGACTGTGACCCAAACATAATAACTGTGATTCAGAGAAACATGTGTCCTTGTGGACAGAAACAAGCATACCTACACCAAAAGCTAGACATTTCTCACAGTTTAAAGTGATGTGAAAAATTTATATGACGCTGTTGTTGTCTCCTTTCAGTCTTTCCAGAAGATAGTATTGTGCTTTAGAGAACCGTGGGGATCACATCCCATGGCGATCGCGATTGTGACTAGCAAGACCCACCAGCATTTTAAAAAAGTCTTCCATAATTAGAGCATGGGATATCAGGACTGCTGATGCCATCACATATATTTATTGTGATACTTCTCAGATGCTCAGTCTCAACATTTCTGCAGTCATTTTTTTTTTCCTTTATTCCTATTCCATTCCAGTTTCCCCCATCCACTCAGCACAGTTGTCAGGAACCCTTTTTGAGCACTGTTGACAGAATTATTAAACGAAAACACTGGTTTAAAAAACCTGGCACCTGTTTGAAACACATTAAGAAAATTAAAAAAGCATTTGGTGAAGTCATCAACAGAGTTGAAATTGACTTTAAATGGCTATGGCTGAAAAACATACTGGCATGACATATGAAAAAACCAAGCTATCCGTCCTTTACTAAACTGTCACTCTCCATCGATATCTCTCCCCTATTCAACACCGATGTTCTAATTTATACAGGTGTGCAAAGCAGTGCTACAAAAACAGTCGTACACCTATAACTGGATCCATGACAAGGGTCCATAGTATTGTGTTCCCACAAATCCACCTCAGTACCTATATCAGTCATGTCCCGATTGCACACATCTTTATAGTAGAGGCCGGCCTCAACATCTTCTACCTATCTGTAATTCACCATAGAGAATGTCCATAGGTACTCTACCATTCTCCAAGTATGACCCAGCTACCTGAGACTTTGCAGTGAGAAAACTGTTGTCATACCTGCTCTTTTCAATACTTAGTCTTTGAGATCTTGTCTTGCCACTTAATACCAAGTATTCTTCTTAGGCATTGCTTGTAAAATTGCTAATAGATATTTAGCCATTTCTCTTGGTGCAAATAAGGTGACCACGTTTCATTGACACCATGATAATGTTTATTTCATGACTGGAGGAAGATAACCAACATTTAAAGAAAGAGATCTTAGGTAGTTTCAGTGACAACTTTTAGTACAACAAGCTAACAGATTGGCTGGTTTTGCAACACTTTTCAGAGAATTAGTGCATAACAGAGCTTTTTTTTTGTTTTTTTTGAGCATGTGAACAGTGCAGAAGAGCGATCAAATCATCACTGTCTGGAGAGAATGGTGCAATGGGGAGTGACCGGTGGATCTGACCAACATTCATAGCAAAGGCAGGGTGCACGTTTAATCAAACTGCTACTAGCGCAGTGTTGGATTTCTGGAATAACTGCTGAAGATGGGTTGGGGGGGGGGGGGGGGGGTACTGGAGACATTTTTGGAGATGTTCCAGATGCTGTGATATCAGTTCTTATCTCAAATCAGTATTGCTGCAATAGGGGAAAAGCTGGATATGAAAGTTTCAGTAGCTAATAGGGTGAGCCACTTCCTTTTTGTCCAGTATCTCTTTCCCTCAGTGACACTTGCACTCAAAGTTTCTTCTTTTCAGATGAGTTATGAAAATTTCTGTAACAGACCTTATTTCACAAGATTAGTGAATTTGTGTATTCATGTTAACACTTGTATCATTGTCCGTTTATGTTATATGCTGATGAATTCTTTCTAGCCGTAACCTTGGCATTATCGTTCATGATTGTGCATTTGTAGAGCTGGATAGTTTTATTTCTCCCTTAAACAGATTTTTTTTCATGGCAGTAGCTTTTATGACTTATTTCTGCCTTATGTTTGCAGCCTTCCTGACGCTGTGCTTTATTTTGCTGCACACTGTGTGGAGCGTGGTGTTCTTTGCTGCTCTGGATAAGAAGAATTACTCAATTGTTGCCTGTGTGGTTGCAACTCACATGATGGTTTCATGTTTGGTGAGTATATATATATATATACACACCTAAGTACCTAAGTTAAGAAATCTTAATCTTTGTATATTAGTGTTTTTGTTTTAGACTCTCAGGTCAGGTAATAATTTTGAAGTTGAAGAGAAAGAACCTGAACCTTTACTAGAGGAAGTAAGAGCAGCAATACAAAGTCTGGTAAAAAAGGAAAATCTCCGGGATCTGATGACATACTAGCAGTGTCAGAATATACCTTGTACTGTGTGGGAAAATCTGGAATAGTGCTGACTGGCCGAGAGCCTGGAAAAGAACAGTCTACGTTCCTCTTCCCAAATGAAACAAAAGAAATCTCAAATTATGTACCAGTTATTGTACTGTGGCTTTTATCAGCCATGCCAGTAAAATTCTTTTACAGATCATCTTGAAAAGGATGGAAAAGAAACTAGAATATGAATTACAAGAAGCGCGATAAGATTTTAGACTTGACAGAGAAACAAGATATAAAATTTTCAATATGAGAACATCTTTGAGGACTGTGGAGAGTATAAGATAAATCTTCATACATGCTTCATAGGCTACAGCAAGGCTTCTGTTTGTGTTCATCACCACAAATTCTGGCATATATTGAGGTGCATGAGATTTCCAACACATCTGGTAAACCTGCTGGAATCTCTACCATGAACAACAAGCAGCAGTCAGAGTAGCTGGTAAAAAATTAGATTGATTTGAGTAGTAAGACAGAACTGCACTCTCTCTCCATCCCTTTTAATATGTCTGATGAAATATGAGAAATTCTGTCTGTTCTAGGAGCTGGTTCTTTTTCTCTGTGAATATGCTCTAGACACCCTCATTGTCAGTGCTAACAGATTGAACAGCTTGAAAAGGTGCAAAATGAAGCCCTGCACATTATTTTGGGATGTACAAGAGATACTTCCTTTGTAGCAATGAGATATCTACTTTCTGAGTATGAACCACATGATCTGGAGGGCTCGGACATAAAATCCACACCAATAAGTAACACCCATTGCATCAAGGGCTTTTCAGTGGACAAAAATTATGTCTGCAATGAATGTAGCAAAGCAACCACATATAAAATGGATAAAAAAAGGAGATTGAATGTCATAGACTTGGGATATTTGGGCTCAGTGGTGAACAACAATGACGACTGTACAAAAGAAGTAAGAAAAAGACTTGCTCTAGCCATGCAGGGGGTCAACAGCAAAATGAATCTCTGGACAGCTATGAAGGTTAAAGTACAAGTTTTAAGATCATGCATCTTTTCCCTGGCAAATTAAGGTTGTGTCATAGACTTTTACCTCAATCTTTGAAGAAAAATCAGAGCTTTCTAATCAAAATGCTGCAGAAAAAGTCATAGAATAAGGTTCTTTGTCGTAAATTATACTTCACTTGGACACCACAAGGTACAAGAGGATAAAGATGAGATGAGATAACAGTGGACCCATAAGAAAAAAAAATATTTATATCCTACAAGATTTGAACATTGAGAGTTGGTTCACAAACAGCATCCTGTCCTGAAAGCTGAGCTATTGTGGCCACATTAAAGTTATGATGGCCTGGGGAAAATGGGGATCAAAGGTGCAGTTTCTGGTACAGGCTGACCTCCATGAAGGTCGATACAAGACATTGAAGATGCATTGAATGCACATAGGGCTGGAGAATCCACTAGAGAAAGAGAGACTTTGAGGCATGCCGAAAGAGATCACCATTCTGTAAAAAATAAACTGCTGATTGATGATGATGATGATGATTTGGGCTCCCATTCAAGAGGCAGAGATGCTGAACCACATGGGGTATATTGCTTGAGGACCAGGGCTCATTCTGGTCAAGATCTGTCAACACTTGTTCGTAGCCATCCTGGAAACAGGTTTCCTACTATGGGAGCCTTAGCAGCCTAAATAGAATCATCATTTCCTTCAGAGTTGGAATGCATTTGTCTTAGAGGGAGTGAACCAGCTGTGCACACTCAACACTTTACACTCAGAGGAAAGGCAAGACAGATGTCATATAATCAAAACTGCTCCTGGCACCGTCCAAATTTAAACTGTTTCCTGGCTGCTAAAGATGAGTACAGAGCACTTAAGGGAATGTTCTGAGTGCTGCAGTGTTAGTTCTTAGCTCACCACTCAACAGCAGGGAATGAACTGAGTTGATTGAGGGTGTTCCTCTAGGGATAAACATTAGAAGAAGAACATTGCTTATGTTAAGTCCATTTTCAGCAGGAAATGTAACCTTGAAAATGTAATGTTATGGCAAGGCAGACCTGGCCCTTAAGCCTGGTTGGAAATGCTCTAAGAAGGAATCTCTGAAAGGCAGACAAACAACCAGGTACTGCTATTCTGATCCAGCAGCTTCTGTAGCATGCTTTGTTCTAAACTTATTGGTGCTACCTTTCCTTTGGACCTAACAAAGCAGGCCTAGTGAAAGGATCATGCTGATTGGGTGAGAAGGGTTCGTGCTGCATGGGTGACACATGGTCTTTACACCACTGCCCAAACTTTGTGCTCTGGTTCTTCTGAATGTGAGCTAGAGCCAGTCTTGCTAGTCACAGTTTCCTTTGCCATAGGATGTCTCCAATGCCTTCCTCTAGCACAGTGTTTTTAAAAGGGTAGGAAGTTATACGGAAGAGAAGAAAATGGGTAAGAAAGAACAAATAGTTTATGTCAGCTTTACAAAATCGATCACAATGAATAAACAAAGGGCGATTAGCCTTCATCAACTCATAAAGAACAACGCAGCACACATACACAAATATGCATGAACTATGAAGTGACTACATAGGACTAAAATGTACTAAATAAATTATACTCATCTGTGTCACTGATTGTAGATATAGCATAGTAGAATATTGTCATCTGGAAAGGTGGAAAAGTGATAACTTCCATTTCAGAGCCTGACAGACAATACAGAAATTAGGTCACTACTAGTGTTTAACCCCAAATCATTGCCCGGCTGTCTAGCATAGTTGGCTAAACCGGACTGCGCGGTGACCAGGTGATGAACTCCTTGTGGTCTGAGTTCACTCCCGGGGATCGGGAGAAAAGCCACATTTCCTCCCAGATTTACAGTGCCTATCATGGAATCAAGGCCGAAGGGTTGCGATATCCATAGTACCGAGCCAAAGGGTTAACAACTCATGCTTTCTGGATATTTAAAAAAAAAAAAAATCATAATGTTAGGAACTAAATGCACTATAGAACTGAACTTTCATGTTGCCATATACATGATAATGTGATTTCTTTATTCATTATTATGTTTTTAATTTTATTTCAGACTTTGTTGAACCAGAGAAGTAGTGAGGAGCATTCTATTGTCTATTTAGGCAGCATCATCCCCTCTTATGTCTGCCTGTTTGTCATGACCGCTTTAGCTTTCAATGCAGCCGGTGGATCTTTTACCAATTTGAAAGTTGCTTTTGCATGTAGAAAGGGCCGATATGAGATTGACTGATTTTGTAGAATGGCTGCAGACGTCATTTTTATGTTTTGTTTGATTGGGCAGTTTACTGTGTGAATGATTTTTATAGAATAACCGGTTATGTGGATGTATGAGTGAATAGTTAATGTTGTTACTTTGACTGTGTGATTGATTTTGTTGAGTAATATTTAAAAAAAAAAATTATATCTCACTTATAATTTGTAAGAATAGCTGTTTATTTGAATAAATGAATAACTCAAGAATTGTCATAACTGCACTTGCAATATCCTCACTCATGCTTCGTCTCCCTCAGTAGCCAGTGAAGAGTCCCCCATGCTAGTAGTGCCAGTTGCAGCCTGACTCAAAGTTCACCTGCATTTCCCCCTCAGTGTTGAATATCTTCCAGAACCTCTGTTCAGCCACCCCTCACCCTTTCCCCCCACTTTTCTTTTGCCTCGTAAAATTTGTCTTTCAGGATAGGGACACCCTATCTGTTCTCTTGCTCTGTTCATTTGATACCAGAAAGCCTTCACTTTATCTGCTTCATCATAAAGTAGCTAGCTGTTCAGAGGAGCAGCACCACTTAATCTATCACGCTGCTCATTACTTTGCACACCTGAATATCCTGGACAGAAAATCCATGATATGCTCTTGATCAAGTGAATCAAGCCACTCCGTGTATAAGACACAAGTTTCTGCGGTGCCTAAGCATGAACTGTGAGTCATCCCTCTGATTATGTGAATGCACAGTTAATGTAACTTTAACAAATGTACAGAAAAACATATGTTTTGGTCATCTCGTTAGAATGCAATCCCACTGACCATCAACACAGGTGCTACACATTGAAAGATCTGATGCAAAATCTAGAGGTCAATCTAGGAGAAGAGGGATTGATAACATTAAAGACACTCTGCATTGACATAGAACAACAACAGCCATTTGTACCCATCGGTCTGATCATGGTTGCATATTCACAGATATGCTCGAAAGATAAGCATTTGCAGTTAGTAACATTTTCTGAGGAGATAGACCATTTGTTTGTTTGCCTAAAGTACTAAAGTCAGTTTTAAATTTACAAAAAAATTTTTTTAGGAGGAACCTGATATTGTGTTAGAGGAAGGACCAGCTACTGGTGTTGGTAAGAGTTCTCAGACTTCTTTCAGCACCTTTTTCATCATTCAGATGACAGATGATAGGGCTGTAGATAGAAATGGGTATCACAGCCATGAGGTAGGGGGAAAGAGTCAGTTGTTCTGTAAACTTCTAAATATTTCCTTAACACTTCTTATCACAACCCTTATCTGCCCCGGATTATGAGTTATTTAGGACTGCTGCAGTTATAACTTTTGAGATTAGACCTGGTGTCTGGGATTTGCCCTGTTTGCCATTCAGGATGACATTCTTGTAGTATCATATCACACCTTCAGGCCAGGTAGCACAGCATAGCGGAAAGGGGAAAAGAGGGGGTGAACTTTTTAAAATCTGTAACATCGGATGTGCATATTTTTTAAAGCAAAATAGATTTTATCACATCTTGCAGAAAAGAGGACTATTTGGTAATTAAGAAACTGCTTAAACCTGATCTATAAAAGTATATATTTGTATAGGTTGAAAAGTTTTAATGATTGAGTTGTAATCCAGTTGACCTGCCTGTTGTTTGCTATGCTTGTAGGGAACTGAGTGAAGGGCATTGTTTTATGTATAAAAAGTTATTGCTATTGTGCGATTCAATATTTTAATTTTTAATTGGTATATGTTTTGGATGTATGGAACTGAGTGAAGGGCACTGTTTGATGTATGAAGATTTATTGCTGTTGTGCGATTCAATATTCTAATTTGTATGTGTTTTGGATATTATTTCTCTGGTGTGTCTTCCATTGAAACATTGATTCTACATTGGCTTGTGCAAGTAAAACAATCCTTGTCTTGCTATTGTCACATCAAGCTTATGGTGCCAGACCCATTGTTTTATAGGGTAGTAGGAAGTGGATGATGTGATCAACATTTGTCAGCCACTTTAACTTCCTTGGACTCTTCCTAATAATAATTTTAGGCTTGATCAGTCTGACAGCCCTAGGGACTTGTGATTCTTTGCCAATGATCATCATCTTGTTTTTGAGACAGTTAAAAAAAAAGGGTCACATTCAACCAGCCACCTGGATGTAGGATCTTGAGGTTTGTAATTGTGACTAGGTTATATGCACCATATTAAATGGCTTAGTATTGCACACCACCAAAAAGAGGATCACCAGAGTTACCAGGACCAAAATGGGAGGGCATATAATACTAATACTCTGATATGCTTGTAATTAGAGATGACTGTGAAGCTTTAGCCTGGCTCACACATTCAGTTGAAAACTATCTGTAAAATCCAGCTAATCATGAACATGTACTGACCTCTGAGCTAAAGCTACAGGATTTCTCTGCTGAACTGAGACGAGCTGGTGTGATTTAAAAGATATGAGAGAGATAATGGATCTGTCTTTATTTATTTCTCCAGCAAATAGATCAAAATTATAATTTTGAGAGCGTGCATCATTCCTGTAGCAACATACAGATGTAAGTCGTGGACTATCTCCCAGTCCTTAAGAAAGAGAAAAGGGGCTTTTGAGCTGAAATGCTATAGAAAGATTCTCAGAATATCTTGGACAAAGAAGAGGAGAAATACTGACATCTTGAAAGATCTTAACATCAAAGAAGATTGGTTAATAAATAGCATCCTTCTCTCAAGCTGAATATTTTGGTCATATCAAGCGCCACGACAGATTGGAAAAAATTATAGCAGAAGACAGGGTACCAGGAAGGAGGAGCAAGGGCCGATCAACTTAAAGATGGGTACATAATATAAGTGACTCCTTGAGTATGAAAGTGCATGGGGTGGGGGAGTTGGCGAGAGACCAAGTTTCTTTCAGGCAGTGCGTGAAGAGAGCAACGTTTTGCAAAGGACCTGCTACATGATGATCTTTATTTATATCAAGCTATTAAATCGACCAAGGCTCTGAAGAAAGAAGTAAAAAATAGAGTTTGTCGTATGCCTTTAGGGTGGGGCATGAAATAACATGTTTTGGAGAAGCTGAAAATTAAATGAGAACTAATGACAGGGGATTTTGACTATGTAAAAAAGACGTATCATTCTTTTAAACACTACACAGGATGGAACTGTTCACGATAGGCAGGCAAGCAGCAGATAATAATAAATGAAGTAAAATAACACCAAGAGCCTGGACAGACTTTAGTGTACAACCAAAACAAGACAGAAAGTGTTGGAGATCCAGTGCAGCCAGGCTTCACTTTTGAGGTGACACTTAATTGATTGATTAACTGAAATAAAGACACTTCTTTTGGAGATCCAGTGCAGCCAGGCTTTACTGTTGAGGCGACACTTAATTGATTGATTAACTGATATAAAGACACTTCTTTTGGAGATCCAGTGCAGCCAGGCTTCACTTTTGAGGTGACACTTAATTGATTGATTAACTGAAATAAAGACACTTCTTTTGGAGATCCAGTGCAGCCAGGCTTTACTGTTGAGGCGACACTTAATTGATTGATTAACTGAAATAAAGACACTTTTGGTGATCCAGTGCAGCCAGGCTTTACTGTTGAGGTGACACTTAATTGATTGATTAACTGAAATAAAGACACTTCTTTTGGAGATCCAGTGCAGCCAGGCTTCACTGTTGAGGCGACACTTGATTGATTAATTAACTAAAATAAAGACACTTCTTAGATCCAATTAATTTGAATTCATTTTAAGACTGTCCTTGGCTGAATCTTTAATCAGTTGTAAGGCTAAGCTAGTCATTATTTGTAAAATTCCACTTGTGCATACATTTGTTTGTTTGTACTGTCCAGTTTGTTTATTTGCCATAAAATTAATTTTGTTGTTTAATTACTATGAAGTATTTCACATTTTTCACAACTCTGCCAGCACAATCACAGAAACCTATTAATTTGTTATGGATATGGGAAAAACATTCTATACGAAATATAATTTTATGATATTGAAAGTAAAATTGTTATTACATGAAAGTCCCCCCTCCCCCCCCCCCCCCCTATTTAAATCATTGTCCTTTATTGTTCCATACTGTTAGATTGTCAACATGTGACAATTAGATTTGTAACGTAATTTTGAAATATTTGTCTAACAGTGTTATTTTACAAGATAACCTACATCCACATATTTCTTGATATTTACAGACATAAAAAGCATTCATTTAAACCCCCCTTTCTTGTACAACCTGTCACTATTTGGAGGCTGACTACCCAGGACCTCTAGTGATTCTTGTCCCTCTGCACAAAGCATGCCTGTCTCCATCTATCTTGACATGTTCTATGTGTCTGTTACAATCAGGGCATGTGTGTAAAGCTGAAACAGTTGAATCAGCAGGGACAAAGACAGTATAAACAGATAAGTTAATTTTATTAAAAAGACAATATCTGTGGCCTAAGGATTGCAAACAATCTTCACAATTCTAAGGTGCCTGGTTTGATTCCAGCTGTGTGTGATTTAGCTGCAGACTACCTTGCCTCGTTACAACAATGGTATCGAGAGATGACCGTTCAAAAAGCAGTGGCAAACTACTGAATATAAAATTGCTTGGGCAAATTACAAACCGCCAAAAAATGCTGGGGTTGCTTTTGCAGTGTCCTGTAAAGGATACACAAAAATATATTGGGGCATGCTGCAGTTGTCAAGTAACCCTGGATGGGTGCTATTCACAAGTGACAGATGATATTTTATAAGAAATAAATGAGATTTTCAATGGACATACATAGTACTCACAAGAGACCGACTGATGGTACATAGACACAAGTGTTGTGGAAGCAAATCCTTTGGGAGAATCCATTTGTCATTTGCATAGAGCCCCATGTGCTTTGTATATTTTTATGTACTATTGTAATTTTATGCTTCATGTAATTGTTTTGAATTATTTTTTTTTTTCACCAAGGGCACACATTAAATGTTTGTAATGAGGAAATATAAGACTTATATTTTCATTTCTGCATCATGTTTTGTGTTGTTTTCCTT